TGTAACTATGAAAGAGCTATCGCCGGTAGTGCTGTTATCTATAGCAAAGCCTGACTTTCAACGGTATTATTAAATAATGAAATGAGGTACTGAATCAGAAATTTTAAGCAATTTACTAAAAGCTACTGTAAAAGCACGAACGTTTTCCATTTCTCAATCGCATATTAAAGTTCCTTTTAAAAGAGATCTACATCACAGAGTTACTCAGAAGTGAATAAATGGCAAACTGACAGTTTCTACACAGCCTTTACTCTGTCCCAGCATGTGCACAAAATGAGACAGTAACCTTAGGGGGAGATGTAGTACCTCCTTGTTCTGCACCATAACGCAGAAAAAATAATCTCCTCCCCACAAGTGGGAATTCCTGGCTATTCCTAAACTCCTTAATGCCTAATGTTGACACCATGCCCTACAAGTAAAACCCTGTCATAGTGAGCACCAGGTTCTCAGGGTTTACTTAGTTTATTTTCCAGAGAATGTTTTGCCCATTCTGTTTCCCCAAGAAAAATCCCCTTTGGTATCAGTTTCTCTATTCAGTATCATTATTGCACAGTTACAGCCATAACTGTGATACTTCATGTCTTGGGTGAAAAATTTCAGCAAAACTCTAGAACTCTCCTAAAAAATAAGAAGTGATTTAAGGTACCTGCCCAGGGCACCTGAACTCTCCCAGAGACTCTCAATAGTGAAAAAAAAATTATTTGCAGTGCTCGAGCATGTACTTCGGCTGATTGCAAATTTCTCGCAATGTGCTGAGTGTGGACATTTCAGCTGAAATGGCTTGGTAGAGCTGTAGGAGAGATTTGAAACAACCTGGGAAGGCAAATGCAAGACATTTTAAACAGAAGATGAACTTCTCCACTTGATACTGAAAAGGGCTGGGGTATCTTGCAAAATCCAAAATTGCTGAGCTGCACTTGCGTAAGTTATCTGAGCGGTAAGGTAAAGGATCGTCTTACCAAATAGACTGTAGGAGGGAGCTGATTATCATCTCTAGGATTAATGAAAATGTCTTCTCTGCTGCAAGTCCAACTTGACATGATCTTCAGGGCAACTGTGGTTTCCATGTATGTGACCAAATATTACCACGCTTAGGACAGCTCCCTGAAGTAGCTATGTCCTTCAGGCTCTCAAGAGTCTCTTGGCCCTCTATTGATCTTTTCTTGCTCTAGCTGCACACATGGAGCCCTGTTACCCGCCACAGGGCACAAAGCAGAGCCCAAGAGCTCAGCCGCAGAAAAATGAGAGTTGGTCACTACGGCGGCTCAGCAGCTTCCAGAGATTCATCTCAGCCACCCATGGATATACGGAGAGCGTGGCCGTGTTCCTGGAGGTGGGTGGCTTCAGCTGTGGGCCTAGTAACAGGACTGAATCTTTCTCCAGAAGACGCAGAGCAGCTATATTCAGTATCTACGGGCACATGCAGGCTCACATACCACTGCGGGGGACAAAGATAACATCTTTTGTGTGAGAAGCCATCCCAGGACGGATGAGTCTGTGCCAGCTGCTCACCTCACATATGCTTCATCTCATGACTTTTAGTCCCAGTAAAGGGAATAAGGAGGAGGTGGGAATCTGCTTTTCCGGCTAGCACTCAATCTAGAGCAAATCGGGCACACAAGAGGTCCCTTCCCAGCCTCCCAAACCTTTCCCATCTGGTGGTTCTACTCCTGGAGATGGATCCCTTGACTTCATTCTGTATTTGCTCCTTTGTGTGAACTGGGGGCTATTCTTTGTTCCGTGAGAAACTCCTAGCCTACCCCACCACATACAGAGGTCTCCAGGAGGCCACGAAAGAAGGAAGTCATGGAGCTAAAGAAATTTCCAAAGGTCAGCATGTACAGAGAACAAGCAGACATTGTAAAAACACACAAAAAATACTTCATTGTTTTAAATGCAAAAGACATTTTCTGCTGTCACATGCAAGCAAGCTGCATTACTCTCACAGAGAGAGGCTGCTGGCAAGAAATGAGTTGGCCTACACTTAAAAGCATTCCAGGGATACTTACCCCATTGGAAGACCAAAACACAAGAGAAAAAGTTTACATACAAACTGACTCTTCTAACCAGGACCAGCTCAAATTAGGATTAAGCCTGTCACAGAGCACAGGAAAAAGCCCACCTTTGTTTGCTGGGAACATGCAGAATTGCACAGAAGCTTCCAAACCAGATGTACCATTGGCTGCCTATTGCCCATGTTCTTGGCATGCCTGTGTGGAGAAAGACAAGAACAAAATCTATTTTGGCTACTGGTAGTTCTGTGAAACCTCCCTATCTACTCTTATACCCAGTATTTCTTTATCTTCTTCCTCGTCACGTGTGCAAGACAGTTTGAGTGCACTGGTTTCCGCTGCCCACTGTCAACTGCAGGTACCTTCATCTTCTGTAATTACAGACTTCTTCATAAGAAGTGTGGATTGGCCTGTAAGGGAAGAAGCCTGGGAATGCCAACAGCCAAAGCAGGTGATCACATCATCATTTTAGTGCGGTGATTCCAGCAATTTTAAGCACATAGGAGATCTCAGATCTGTTCTTCCACCCATTCACCCACATCTCAATCCTTTAGCACTGTCTATATATATCTCTATATAAACTCTTCCTTGCTTCTCTTTCTATACTATTTCCTTCCTTCCCAACACATGAAGCCATTATAATTTTAAAACACTTTGAATCTGTAAAGCATATGAGAGGCTGCCTGATCCCATCTCCTCTGTGTGTACATATGACAAGCAGGAATCTCCTGCTGCCCTCTTGAGTATTTCCACAGTGATGTCCCAAACCACACGAGTTGTCTTCTACACCTGCACTCGCTCCTCCTGCTCTGCTCTTAGGTGAATCCCTCCCTTCAGGCCCGAGCCGGCCTGCTGCGGGCCTCCCTTGCGTACCGCCACGTGAGAAACGCGCGGCTGGGGTGTTCCGCACGCTCCGCAGGGAGGCGAGGAGCCCCTGGGCACGGCAGGGCCTGCCGGGGTGCAGCAGGAGCCACGCTGCTCCGTGGGGGCCAGGGAGGAACGGCCGGGGCACA